GGCACGTTACTTTTCTTCTCCAATAAAGTATCAAATTTCTGAAAATTTCTTAAGTGCGACATGAAAACGTCTTCATAACCTTTACTATTTAGTGCCAATAAATCCAGTTTTTGACGCGCTTTAATTTAGTATAAATACATTGTGATATTATCTGTTCTTTAGGTTCTAGAGGGAAGGAGGCAAAGGTTATGTGCCACCCTGTACATCCCTCTGTAATCCCACTGGATCAGACCATAAATTTTTACCATCTGGTACGATATTTCAAAAATGGTAGTTGTTTCTTCGTTTATGAGTGGTAGAATTATCAAATTCAAATGTTGTCTATTTAATACACATATTTTACTTAAAAAGTACTTTGTCAACAATCTAATTAATTATGCTGGCAAAATTCTACTTTTTATTAACTAAAAAATTAACAAAAAAGAACTTTTCCGATATATATGGCAAATACTGTTGGTAAAGTTCGGCCACCTATCTCGAGAAGACGTCTCATTGTAAAGAGAATACTTTGCTGTATCAAATGATATAAAAGAAAAACGTCTGAAAGCACTGAAAAGGAGAGAATAGTTTACAAAATGCAAACAATTGAGACTTCTTTTTGTCGTTTGAGCAAAAAATTTTAAAAAGTCAGAATCATTAAGTCCAAAAAGATTCTCTATGCTATGTTCAACTCAAAATCGAAAAGTTTTTGAAAAAATGGGAATGAATAGTCTTACAGTGTATCAACAAATGTACACAAGTATTCCTCATATTCTATTAATTAAATACATAGAATAGAGAGTTAACAGTCTCAAAATACTATTAAATAATACAGCTGGTTGGCTATAATCTAACATAATTTTTAATGTTAAAAGAACACGAACACTGAGTTACTTTTGTACTGAAAGATTTATTTAATGTAGTAGACTTTTTACATAGACCCACTTGTTCTCCGTAATACAACAACAACAATAAGTCAATGGACATAACACAGAATCAGCGAGGTAAAAAACTATTTCAGCGATCAATATTAGACGTTTCTAACTATTTATTTACAGAAGAATAATTATTCTGTATAAAAAACAACAACTTCTGTATTGTACTATTAATATTATTCTTCCGTCAAGAAGAAAAAAATAATGTATCTGACACCAACAAGATAAAAATCAACTATAAATATACTTTGTCTGGCAAACGTATAATATGTAAGTTAAAATAAATGGTGTATACATGAGGTCAAACGAAACTGTGGTTGATGAGATATTGAAGATGATGGTCACTGTATAAACTGTATAAAAAATCAATCTTTCGACTTGAAAAAAATCAAAAGTTGAATAATCTAAAGAGAATTCTTTTTGCAGTTTAAAATATTAAGCCTGTTTTGAACAACGGGCAAAATATTCACGCTGAGAAGATTAACTTTAAACTACTTTCAGTCACTTTTCTTCTCTAAGTGCAATTTGTTTAGTTAAACATTAATTAAAAGAGCGTAATTCAAATAAGTCCATCGTCTTCGTTTTCTCTAGTATAAACCAGTTTTAATGCACATTATTTTTATGCATGAATAAATAACTTCTGCTCTTTGCTCACGCTATTTATCAGAATATCGGAACATGGATCATAACTCTCATAACTTGAACAGATACATATTTTTGAGCTTGTCTTTTTGATCTGCCTCATGTGATCATAGTACACCTTTTGATTATTTAAATCAAATCAACAAAACGATAAGGGTATCAATTATTTTGATCACCAAAAGCTTTTAGATACAAATGATCACCAAAAAGTACTTTTGCTCATGGTTGTGAGCATCTTTGAACATTACCGTAATCGACTTTGGATCATCATCTGGTACAGTTGCCTTGAGTTCATAACGACATAATGGATATTTACGATATTGACCACATTTAAATGAATATTTTGT